CTCTATATACAGAGAGCCACCATCACAGAGCACACTGTCCTCTGATACACACATACCTGTCTCTATATACAGAGAGCCACCATCACAGAGCACACTGTCCTCTGATACACACATACCTGTCTCTATATACAGAGAGCCACCATCACAGAGCATACTGTCCTCTAATACACACATACCTGTCTCTATATACAGAGAGCCACCATCACAGAGCACACTGTCCTCTAATACACATATACCTGTCTCTATATACAGCCCCCCGTGTTACACACGCACTCCACACTGTACAATGTTCCCGGGGGAAGAACACACAGCCGTGCACAGCCCGAGCTCCTCATACCTTTATTGTTTTGTCCATGTCGGTCCTCTGCGACATGACGGGAAACAATGGCGGGGAGACTGTCACAACCTGGGCCAACACATGAAGCCACCGCTTGGGTCCCCCATACAATGAGACTGAGTGGGAGGGAGAAGAGGCGGAGGACCGGAGGAGACACCGGAGCTGAAGAGAGACCTCCTCTAACTACAACCCATTACCTCCCGGCATGACCACAACAATGCCGGTTTTCTTTAACGCCCACATTGCGGGAGCCCCTCCCAGACTGGGGAGTGTCGTGGCTTCCGGACTCTTATAATAGAATGTGTACAGAATTGGAAGCGAGTCCCTATGTGTTTTGTAGCCAATTGTGTGGAAATCGAGACAGGCATTTCGTTGGGCACTTCACCGACGCGCCACACATAATGAAGGGCCCCCTATGAGCCCCATAGTGTGAGCCGCTACTGGGTGCCCTTCCGAGCTGAGGGCGCGCTCTGATTGGGTCATAGAGTGCTCTGCTTAGTGAAGGCTTTCCTACAATGGAGGGTGAATGTAACGTTCGGCCAGGAAGAGCTGTCACTCAAGTGTCTGCGGCCTTTTTTTTTTTACTGTCTCAGATATTAGCTATTTCACTTTGTAGTGTTTTCTATTGTTTCCGTTGTCGTTTCGAAGTTAGAATAGAGGGCATGCTGCTTTCCTCCTGAAAATGAAACACTGACAAACTTATCTTATTCTAGTGGAAAAGAATGGCTTGAATAAGTCCCTATGTGCTAGCTCGGTTAATTGTTTTAAAAAACATCTGGATGTATTCCTAAATGCACAGAATATTACTGGATATTGAGTTCTTGGAGGTATATTAAAGTGACATTAAACCCTCAGATTTTTCAACATAAAACAATACTGTAATGTGCGCCTTACTGTAATCCATGGTAGTTTCCCTTCTCTTTGCTGCTCTTCCTTTTAAATCTGTATCTGTTCTCATGTTGGGCAGAACTTCTGTTTTGCAGCAGACTGCCTTGTCTCTGAAATGGACACCATGTCTGTGTGCAGGTTCACAACCTGAGCCAGCACTACAGGAGGAGGCACTCAGCTGCAAAGGGAAGTTCTGCCCCAGCATGAGAAGACATGAGGATTTAAAAGGAAGAGCAGCAAAGAGAAGGGAAACTACCATGGATTACAGTAAGGCACACATTACAGTATTGGTTTATGTTAAAAAATCTGAGGGTTTAATGTCACTTTAAGCATCAGAGATTGTTGATCCAGGGAATATCCGATTGCCTTATGGGATCAGGAAGGAATTTTTTTCCCCTGTTGGAGCAAATTGAACCATGCTTTATAGGTTTTTTTTTGCCTTCCTCTGGATCAACATTGGGTAATTGTGGGCATAGTGTTCTGTTTAGCCTTTTCTTCTTCTTTTTTTCTTTTCTTTGTATCTCTATAGGTTGGACTCGATGGACTTGTGTCTTTTTTCAACCTGACTAACTATGTAACTATGAATAAGAGTGCCAGAGATTATGACGGAAAACCCCATTTTGGCTTTTCATAATCTTGATTTTTTATTTGTAACAATAATTGTACAGTGGAAAAAGTGTGAAAATGCTGTGAGATTTAACCCATAATGACCCTTCACTGCCAAGGCCTTTTTTTTGTTTTTTGCACACATGATATAATCCACATTTTAGGCCTGAAAATTACTTCAAATCCCCAAACATTATGAAGGTTATTCACTATTGAGCCGAAGGATACGGCCGTAGCTGATCCAGCTGATCCTTCGGCCGCCGAAGGGCTGCTGTACGGGCTATTCACAATAACCTGTACAGCCGCCTGAGGCGGCTTAGCGGCTCTGCCGAGTCGAAGGCATATGCTTCCGCTCGACTGAGCCAAAGTGACAGCCAAAGCGGGGAAAGTGGCCTGCTGAAGGCCGGCCGTTCGCCCCGCAAATGACAGCTAGGCAGAGCCAGCCGTGATCTCATGGCTTGCTCCGCCCCGTTGTAATGACAGATCAGCGTCCCCAAATGACCTGGGGGCGCTGATCTGTCATTAACCTCTTGCCGTTTTTTCTTAACGGGCGGACGGCAGACTCGCATCCGCGGGTTTGTCCCCAAAAAAGGGTATAAAATTAATTTCAGTACAGCGCTGCATGACGGAATAAATGTCAGTCAAAATACCGCAGCGCTGAATACTGAAAAATGGCCTGGATGGGAAGTTTAACACCCCGGATGTCAACTGGTTAAACAACAACTGGCCGGGTCGGCAGTGACGTCACGGCCGACTCTGCCCAGAGAAGGCTCTAGCAGGTGCCGGCCAATAGGAAACAGTTGGGGCGAGGCTAGCTGTCACTACTAGCTCTGCCCAATTGTTTTTCTTTACTTTTTTTTTCTTCTTTAAAATATCTTTATTTTTCCAATTTATTTACATTTTACAAATTATTTTTTAGCTTTTTTTTTTTTTCTTTACTATTTTCACAAATTTTCTATTCTGCTCGGTACCTCGGCAACAACGCCAACAAAATTTACCTCGGAGGTACCGAGCAGAATAGCCGAATGCCGACTGAATAGGGGAGAACGGCAGCAAGCTGCTGGAGCTTCGGCTCAGCCGATCCAGATGGTGGTGAAAACAAGTATTTCTCCCAGCATTCGTTGGAGAATAAAGGACTCTACTCTTGAACATGAGGGTATAGGTGCTGCCTTTCATATTAACTCCAGCAGCTAAGAGTTCCCAGTGTCTTCCTG